AATAAAGGAAGACTACTTTATTGTCTGTGTTCATGGGTTAGGCATATGTGCGTATATATTCTTTGGTTGATCTCCTGCCATCCTCCTCACGCTTCTCCCCTCTGAGATCTGTCAGTCTGTTCAATTTACCCTTTCCATTGTTATTCTTAACATAGTCTTCCTTTATTCAACAAACATTCTTCAGTTCTTTGTTACTTCCAATTATTGTCTACCTGTCTGGCTTACTTGAAACTAAGGATTGTTTTTTCCTGGTTAGAGGTATAATAAAACAGACTTGGCCACCAAAAACAAATGTTTTATACTTTAGGATTAGTTTGTCTAATAATAAAGCAAATAATACAAGCTTCTTTGATATAAGAGATTTTATATCTTTTTCCTATATAAACTCCCCAGCACAGGCATATTTATCTATCTAGATATAGATTGAAGAGATCCTAAGAGATAACTTGTAAATTATAATGTGGGCGTTAAAGCAGTACTTTGTAACTTATTCAAATTTTTACCTTTTAGTAAGGCACATTTCTAATGTATAAGAAGCCTATAAATCCTCATAAACAGCATACTTTTACATAATCTCTCTTTTACCTAAATCGTATTTATGGGTAGATTTTTTTCATGATTTATTATGGTAAATTAATAGAAAATAGGATTTATGAACAAGCATTATTTCTCAGGGAATATTTAATAAAATATTCAAAGCATTTGTTGCTCCATTAAATCAATCCAGTACCCTCAATAATAAAGTGTTATTATGAATTCAGTTTTCAGTGAAAAGTATCCTTGGCTTTTAGTCGTTTTTTGTTGTTGTTAATCTTCACCCGAAGATATATATTTTTTCCATTGATTTTGAGAGAGAGAGAGAGAGAAAGAAAGAGAAACATCTATGTGAGACAGACGCATCGATTGGTTGCCTCCCACACCCACCCAGAGCGGGGCTGGGATCGAACCAGCAACCCACATATGTGCCCTTGAATGGGAATCGAACCCTCTACCCTTTGGGGTCCAGGCCAGCATCCTCACCACTGAGCCACACCAGCCAGGGTGGCTTTTTGTCTTAATTCAACCCAAGAAAAAAATATATTTTTATAAAGCTTTAATATGGAAAAATGACCACTGGCTTACCATGACTGATGATATTTTCATAAATCTTTAATATGGAAAAATGACCACTGGCTAACCATGACTAATGTCATAATGGGAAGTTTTGTCCAGCCTTACCAAAAGCCATGGAATAAAGAAAAGTTAATGCTGAATCTGAGACATTTGAGCATAAGACTGTGTGGAAGAATGTCTGTAAGTCTAGTTATTATTTGTAAACATTACAAATGTGGTTTTAGGGTTTCCTAGCATATTGAAGCAAATAGTATAGAGAAGTATTAGATACCAGTGAAGGTCATAATGAACAGTGAGTAGCAGAAAAAAGATATGACATTACTCAAAGCGTAGTGTAGGGAACCATTTAAGTAACAGCTCTCTGAACTGTAGGAACTCTAAGGACATCACTATTCTAGTAGAATAAAATTATTATATATAATAACCTTGTACTATCAGGAATATTCATTATATTCCATTTTACAGGAAAGGAAAATAGTAATTGCACATAAAGAAGTCCATAAAAATGATACTTTAAAATAATTTCTCAGTTCATTCCTCTGGAAAAGTCATTCAGAATAGTTTATTCTCTAACACTGATTGCATAAGATGTGGTCAGCCATGTGGTAGGCCAGTAATTCTCAACCTTTTTTTAGAAGCTCATTCTTTCTCTGTTTTTATTGTGGTAAAATATACATAACATAAAATTTAACTATTTTAACCATATTTTTAAACCATATTTCAGTATATAAGTCAGTACATCTAATGTTGGACTAAACCATTACCACTATCTCCTGAACTTTTTCATCATGACAAACAGAAACTGTGTACCCATTAAACACTAGCTCCTCATTTTCCTCCTTCCCCCAGCTCCTGGTAGCCTTTGCTCTACTTTCTGTCTCTGGATAAGACTACTCTAGGTACTTAATATAAGTGGAATCATTCAATATTGATCCTTTTGTGTCTGATTTATTTCACGTAGCATAATGTTTTCAGGGTTCATCCAAGTTGTAAGCATGTTTGAGAATCCCATTCCTTTTTAAGGCTGAATAATATTTTATTGTATGTATGTGCCACATTTTGTTCTTTCGTTCTCTTAGGTCACTTTCACTTTTTTTGCTCTTGTGAATAATGCAAATGGCTCTCCGTTTCATCAGCGCAAAGCCTCCAAATCCTTCAGTGGCTTACAGTGCCCTGTAGGATTTGCCTGCCATTCTCCTGCCCCTACCACCTTCTTACCTCTCTGAGCTCATTTCCTACTACTCTTCCCTGATGCTCATTTTTCTTCAGTCACATCAGCCTTCCTTCTGCTTTTTGAGTAGAACAGCTACATTCCTGCCTTAGTGACTTTGCATCAGCTTTTTGTAGTAGGACTGGGCCTGGAATAGTCTTCCTCCAGATAAATTCCTAATTCATCCCTTCTTTCAGTTTTTGCCCAGTTGCCTGGCCTGACCCTCTTAAAAATGCAACCTTCCTCACCACTCCCAAGTTTCCTTATGATCTTTTTTTTCTTCCTAGCACTTATTTTCTAACATATATATTATTTAATTAGCTCATTTATTAGGCATACTTATTGTATGTCTCTCTCACTAGAGGGTTTGGAGCTTTTTTGGGGTTTTGGGGGTAGTTTTTGGTCTTTCTCTTTTTTTAAAAAAATGTAGCTCCTTTGCCTAGAACAGAGCCTGACACTGAGAATTTAGTAAACATTTATTGAATTAAATAATAGGAACCTGAAGCTCAACAGTTAAAAAAGATTGTCTAAGGTAAATTCCACAGCTCCAGTAACAGATATCTTTTCGTTGTCTTCCTTCCTGCTGTATACGTTGCTATGGAATGTTATAACCCAGGTTTTCTGAATCTTCATAGGGTTGATTAACATTTACAAGACTGTACGCTTAGAACTTAACCAGTATTTTGTACATTTTCTCACTTTATGTTGTTGGAGAGCAATTTGGTGGCACTATAAATATTTATAATGCGTATGTACTTTGATCCAACACTTATTTCTAAGAATCTGATATATAGAAACATTTCTCACTAGTGCATTAATTTGCTTACTGTTTTGGAGGTTCATTGTACTATTATCTAAAAGAGCAAAACAAAGTGCAGACAACCTAAATATTTAAATAAATTATGGCGCATTCTTACTATGGAATATACTGCGAGCATTAAAAAAAAGAATGGGAGGACTCTGAATATACTCACCTAGAAGAATATATATAATATATTGTTAAATAATAACAAATGTGGAACATATATAAAGTATGATTCTATTATTAAAAAGAAATTGGATAGCATGGGAAATATAGTCAGTAATATTGTAATAACTATGTATGGTGCTAGGTGAGTACTGGAAATATTGGGGGAATCACATTGTAAAAAGTACATGATTATCTGACTACTATGCTGTATACCTGACACAAATACAAAATAATATTGAATGTGAACTGTAATTGAAAAAGAAAAATTAAAAAATATTCATATACATACATATTGGTTGTTTTCAAGAATTCTCAAATTTTTAAGCTTTAGCCCTTTGTACTCTGAGATTAATTTGATAATATTAGTAATGATTTTTAAATTAAAAAGCGTGAGTAAATTTTAAAAGTAAACAAAAATGAAGGGTCCCTTCAACCATACCCTCCACTGTGTCTATTTAATATCACATTTATAGACAAAACAGAAAGCTTATCATTAACGAAGAACAGTTGGACTCTGAGGAAATGTTCATTGTTTATAGAGTCACTCTAATTAATCTGTTTAATTCATTTGATTAAATCTATTTAAATTATTTATTAATTCATAATTTTCTTTCAGGTTCGATCTGGGGCCAATGTTCTAATTTGTGGTCCAAATGGCTGTGGGAAGAGTTCACTTTTCCGTGTTCTTGGTGAAGTAAGTACAAGGTGGCCTCAAAATTTTCCGTTTTATTTTGCCATATGATCTATCACATTGTGAAATTTACAACTGCTCCTCCCCACTTCTTTCCTTTTATAGTTATGGCCTCTCTTTGGAGGACGTCTGACTAAACCTGAGAGGGGAAAGTTATTTTATGTTCCTCAGGTAAGCCCTTGAGTTATTCTATAATCTTTGATTTAAAGATACTTTTATTTATTGTTTAAAAATTGGCTTCTAATGATATTTGCTCTACTATTATCAGAGGCCTTATATGACCCTTGGAACACTTCGAGACCAAGTGATATATCCAGATGGAAGAGAAGACCAGAAAAGGAAGGGGATATCTGACCTCGTAAGTAAAGGCTTACCTATCCCAAACCCGCTGAAAATACTCTTTCAGATTCTTTTCCTTAATCAGTTAAGTTTCTGTGTTTTTTTAAAATCCTCACCCAAGGAGTGAGGATATTTTTAATTTATTTTAATTTTTTTAGAGAGAGAGTGGAAGGAATGGAGGGAGAGAGAGAAACATTGATGTGAGAGAGACATTGATTGGTTGCCTCCTGTATGCGCCCAGCTGGGGGCAGAGATTGAACCTGCAACCTAGATACGTGCGCTTGATTAGGAATTGAGCCTGAAACCGTCTGGTGCGAAAGCCGGTGCTCTAACCACTGAGCCATGGTGGCCAGGGCAGTTAAATATTTTTAATGCCAGTTAGTTTATCCTAACTGGTAAAGCCTTCTAAAGCCTTGACAGTAGTTATAATTTCCAAATTGTGGTAAGATGTTCACCACTTTGCTTAAATATGACTTCTTGAATGTTTAACCTTGTTTACAATATTGTTTGCTTTCTCACTACCCTTGCCCTTTAATTATGTACAGTAGTTTCTCCTTAAGCTGTTAGATCTATTTTGTCATAATTAGTATAGATAGGAAGTCAAGGGTTCAGGGCAACCTTTGTGCCACAGTTTTGTGTGAAATGTGCCTCTTTAAATGATGCAATAGAATTTTAGTGATTTTTGTTTAAAAAATAAAGCAAGATAGAGAATGTTGGTTCATAATAAGCTTGATTTCATCTTTAATCATTTTGCTGAAAGGTACTGAAGGATTACTTAGATAATGTCCAGTTGGGTCATATCCTTGAACGTGAAGGAGGCTGGGACAGTGTTCAGGATTGGATGGATGTACTCAGTGGTGGAGAGAAGCAAAGAATGGCAGTAAGTATACTCTGAAGACATTGCACAACAATGCAACTGGTTGATTAATCAAGGCACAGTTTTACTTTAGACTTTTCAATGAGCAATTATTTTAGTGTAGTTTCATTTAAATGATAATAAAAGGTGCTTGAAAGTAACTTGCATGTAAATTTGGAATTCTGAAAAATTTTTGAATTTTCCTATGAAAGGAAAAGCTGCAGGTCCAATTATATACCACTAATCCATTTTTATAAAAATTGAGGAAATTTAGTACCACATTGATCCTGGGACATATGGTAATTCTGGTTGGGTTATGAGATCTCGTGCAATATCTTTTCCCTATAGACATCTCTTTGTCTTACTCAGGCTGTTCTCTCTGAAGTAGATGATCAGCACTAATTTTATCATTTTATTCTTTATTCTGTTCTTGCCCCTTCCTCTGCCATTATATGTATCCTTGTTTCAGGGCTCAGTATCTGGTACCTAAAGTTATTTAGATTTTTAAAATTTTCCTACTATAGAAAAACATTGGAGAGGAACTGTTTTAATTTTATGTTTAACTAAACTTAGTCAAACATGACTATAGAACACTACATATTAAGAGTGATACTTTGAGTACTCTGTTAAGAGTGATAACTTTTTAAAGAGTCTTTTTCTAACTGTACATACCATAGTGTGAGCAGATCCAGAGAAATTTTTCTTTCCAGAATGTTAATCTTGTGGAAATTAGGAAAAACTGCAGCTAAGGAAAGACAGCAAAAGAAATGGCTTATTGCAGAAATTCTTATTCATTATCTTCAGGTTATATTCTACCTTATTGTTGCCTCCTACTTCCTGACTTTGCATGTTGTTATTTCCAAAATCATGCCCATCCTGTGGAATTTAATATCAACCTAATATTGTGATTTGTTTGGCGAGTGCTGTAATATGAGATTAATTTAGAGTGAAGAATGAACCATAAACAAAAGAAAGGAGAGATGCCAGCCATACTCAAAATAAAGGCTGAAGGAGTGAGAATTTGAGGTATTTGGGCATTCCTTGAATCAGTTTAGAGGATGGCTGTAGGAATAGCTGCAAGTCAAAAGAACAAATTTAAATTTCTGTGCTATGCAAAAAAAATGGAAGGATAGTCAAGATTCATAAAATGGACGCAATGGAAACTCAGGGAAAGAAAGATGAATGCATAATTAATAAACTCTGTGTGCGGTCTAAAGGTACAGAAGGGGCAGTTTTTATTTGAAGATGAGAAAGTCAAGGCCTACAGGAGTGAGAAGATACCTTGAAGAGTAAGGGAGTGGGGAAGTAATCCTGTGAGAAAAGATGGACGGTGATAGAGTTGTTTGGAAAAGGGACAAAGCTTACCCGTGACACTGCTGCGTCACCAGGCCATTGACATTGTGTTCTGTGTGGGCCAGTGTCTGGAGAATCGAACAGGAAGTTTGTAAGACAGCACATTGTTTTACTGTTTTCAGAGGGTTTCTGGGGAGAGAGGAAAGGCAAATGTGACAAATATTAACATGGATGAAGTCAGGTGAACAATGTGTGTATTCATTTTACTAGTCTTTCATTTTTTTTGGTAGGCTTAAAAATTTTCAAAGTAAAACGTTGAGGGAAGACAAGACAGTTTTTATAAGTTATAAAAATTTATGTTTATAAATTATGAAAATTATAATTTTTAGGAAAAACAGACTTGAAAGGTTTAACCACCCAAAATAGTGAATTTATAAGAGTTAAGGTTTCTGTAAAACAAATGAACCAAAGGAACTTTTGGGTGAGAAGAGTCAGGATTTGAATTTGAGGGAATGGAATAATACTATTGAATAAAGGGAGGTCTGGTGACAAATTCTTAAACTTCCTTTAGTATAAATGTGGGGAAATAAAATTATTATTCCATTATTATAACAGTATACAGCATAATTTAATTGTGGTGTAGTTTCCACAGAGTTCAGTATTAGCCAGGTGTCTGCCCTTAATAATCTAGATCCAGATATTCTCAACTAACTGTAATACAAGACAGTCCTATAGCTACCAAAAAAGTGCACCGGGATAATGATGAGGAGAAATTGATTTTGAATGGCAGGTCCTGTTTAATTCTCCTGGCAGCCCTGTGAAGTAAGGTCCAGGCAAGGGTAAGACTTGGCCAGCTTAAGCAGCCGTACAGCTCCAGAGCGGCAGAACTGAGATTCAGGGCCAGGTGACTCTGACATCAGCACACTTGCTCTTAACCAGAACGTTATAGCCTTCAATGTGCAGGTGGGCCGCCTGTCCAGTTCTCTACTCTCATTGTCCCTTGATGTCTCAAGTGACATTTCCTTTCATTGCACCCATTTGGGCCCACCCATCATCAGCCAGGGTTGCTCCACCTAATATCATAAGTTGGTAGATCTTATTTCTCTGATTGATAGCTATCTTTCCCACTCCACTGTTTTTGCTCTTTCAATTTAGTAATAGGTTTTCTTGTGAATTATGAAAAAATATATATGATAGAAAACTTGGAATATTTATAAAATTATAGAGGGGCCAAAACCCCCTTACTAGCAGTACCACTGCCATAAAAGTTTTAGTGGTTTTCAATCCATTTAATTACAAAAAATTTTCTTTTACCTAATTGTAAACTATCCTCCTTCAAACTCTCTGCTATTTCTTGAATATTGACCACTCCCTTACAGTTGATCTGTTCTCTTCTGACTCTGCCTCTTTTTCTGTCTAGTACAGACCTAATAATCCAGGGCCTAGCATGGGTCCTGGCACATAGGTATTCAGGAGGTGTTTCTTAAAGGAATACACAAGTGATCTCTTCCCCTTAACTTCCTTCCTCACTTTTTGTTTTCTCATGTTACCTGAACCCCAATCCAAGAGCAGTTGGCTCCCTTGGCATTTCTGTGCACAGGCTTCTGAGCCCAGCTGAAAATTAGAATATGAGTTGGTGCTGCCACACTTCCATGGTTTCCAGGCTTCCAGAGGCTCACAGCGTGGCTCAGCATCATTTTACTTATTTTTGCCCCCTCCTTTCATTTTTCATGATAATTGTTTAAAAACTACCAAAGGCTTTCTACCCCATTACCTTACTCCATCACTCTCAGCAAAATAACTTGCTTCCTGCTTAAAGAAGAAAAGAGAAGCTGCTCGGTGAAATGACAGCTGACTTTTATTGAGTGCTTAATAGATGGGAGGCGGCATGCTAAGCACTTTACACAGGTTATCTCATTTAATTTCCACATCAAGTCCTGTAAGGTAACAACTCTGAGTGTCCCATTTTACAGAAGAAATTGAACTATAGTGTAATTATGTAGCTTGTCAAGCAAAGACAGCTAATAAAAATTAAAGTTGTGTGGGTGGGCGGAGGGTGGCTTGTCAAGATCAGGTAGCAGCGTGACTGCAGTGTTTGTAAGGGTGGGGCAAAAGTAGGTTTGCAGTTTGGAAAATAATAAATAATACAAGAATAAACTCTGTGTTTTACGTGCTCGCAACTGTAAACTTTTGGTCCACCCTGTACGTATTCACTTTGCGATCTTATATTGTGGTATCAAGTAGCTGACAGCATAGTAGAGAGAGACACACATGAGAAAATTTCCACACAATGTGGTGGTGAAAGAATGCAAAGAGTTCCGTGGGAACACAGAGGAGGGGCATTTGTGGAATGTCTTCAGATAATCACTCCTCTTAATTAGCTTTTCACTGGCTGTCCTGACCTCCCTACTTCCACTGTCTATGAAGGGTATGCCATCCTTTGTCTTGAAAAAAGCAAAATGCCTTTATCTTTGTTTTTGGACCCTTTCTTCTCTGACTTTATCACATCCCTTTCCTTTAGTTATACTGGCATGTATACACACACACACACACTCTATATTTAATCTCTTCTAGTCTTTCTCTTTCAAAAAGAAATTTTCAGATCTTTCTGATCTAAAGAGTAAACTTGGCCTTAACCAAGTAGCCCATACCTTTCTTTCTCTGCACAGCTGTACTTTTTGATAGTATATACTGGCTGCTTCCCCTTCCTCACCTCATACAAATAGGTATAAACCCCAAGAAATCTGTTTTGTATGTTTTAGTCATTTATTTATCAGTTTCTTACATATAAAGTATTGGTTGTACAGTACTGATTAAAATGGAGTCTCTGCTTATGTGAATATTGTAGCCTAGGGAAGTAGACAAAGACACAGACAAATACAAGGCACAGCATATGAAGTGCTGCAGAGATGCTATAGAGGGACCCATTTGGATTGACAGAGGTGTCAAGGTACGTTGTCAGAGGAGGTGACATTAGCAGAAATTTGAAGGATGCAAAGAGCAGAGTAAGTCGTTTGAGACATAAGGAAAATGTGCTGAGTCTCTAATGCCTAAGACTAGACCTTGTGTCCTGATAGTCAAGAGGAGTTGATGCTGGCTAGAATGTGGAGGTTCCAGAGTGAGTAGGTATAAGATTGTGCAGGGCCTTGTGGGCCACGGTAAGGAGTTTGAGTTGCGTTTTAAGTGAAACGGGAAGTTGTTCAGGGGTTTTAATCGGAAGAGTGAAAGTCTGCAGTTTACATGTCTGAGACCCTCTCTGGGTGACATGGAGAATGGATTGGAGAAGAGCAAAAGAGGACATAGGAGGCTATTGGTGGTCATCCGGGCAGATGATTGTGTTCTGGACTAAAGGCATGATTGTGGAGGTGGGAAGAGTGAGTGGGCTCTATGCAACAGGACTTACTCAAATAGACTAAAAATGAGGGGCATGGGGCGTGAAAGAGAGGAGGCACAGAGAAAGATCAAGGACTCAGGGCTTTCTGGCTTGAGCAACTATTTGATAGTGTCATTTTCTGAAATGTTTAAGATTGGGAGTGATGGATGAATGGATTTTAATGGGAAAAATCTAGAAAATCCATATGAGTTTTAGATTTTTAAAATCTGAGAGTCCTGTGAGATATCCAAGTAGAAAGATCAAATAGGAATTTTTATATATCAATCTGGAAATTAGAAGATGAAGTGTGAATGAGAGATATGTATTGGGAGTCTACAAATGTAAATAATATTTGAATATAAATATATTTGATGAGATCACTTGGAGAGATACAATATAGGAAAAAGAGAGTTAGCTCTGAGGACCCCTGACATTTAATGGTTAAGTGGGAGAGGAAATGCTGGAAAAGAAACTGAGAAAGCAGCCTAAGAAGGGGGAAGAAGCTTAAGACCATGTTTTCACTGTCACTTTCTCCAGAAGGAGGGTGTGGTCACATGAGTTGACCTTTGCAGAGAAGAGAGAAGATAAATTGGGGAAGGATAGAAAAGTATCCATTGGTCTTTCAACCTGGAGATCATTGTTAGGGGCAGATGACAAATTGGAATATTTGTTAGATAAAGGATCTGAATAAATAATTCCCAGAAAATAAAACACATATGGAAAGTAAACGTGAGAAAATGTTCATCATTCCTGCTAATCAAAGAAATATAAGCCATCACAATCTTGATGTTAATTGTTACTTATAAATTAGCAGAGGCTTTAAAAAATGAGCAAGCGGATAAAACAGGTGCACTCAAAAATTATTGGTGGGAATATTAATTGGTAGCTTAATGTTAATGGGCATTACTTAAGCAACAAAATATTTAAAGGTAGACACATTTTTGCACCTGAGCTATTTATAAGTCTGAATTCTAAGATTTGGTTAAAATAAGTACATTTTAACCTTGTGTAGAGAACTTGCTTTACTATTAGTTTAAAACTCAACTTCACCTCATATCAATCCTAAAAGTTTTGTTTTACTCTGAACAATATTTCCCATGAATTACATTTCTCTCTTTGTTCAGGAAGACAAAAGAAAATAGGTTTATTTATATTATTTTTATTTCTGGGAAATAGATTTCTTGAGTTAGAATGATTTTCATAATTGATTTACAAGACTGTAAATGCATACTTAGTTTAAAGTAAATCTATTTTAGCTTATTAACTTCTGCATGTGATTATACAAAATATTTCTTTTTTGTGCTTCAGATGGCAAGATTATTTTATCATAAACCCCAGTTTGCTATTTTGGATGAGTGCACAAGCGCAGTGAGTGTGGATGTGGAAGGCTTCATCTACAGTCACTGTCGAGAGGTAAGTGTGCAGGTTCGCAGTGTGAGGGTCCATGTCCCCCTCCTGGTTTACTCTGTGTCCAACCAGATAGCTATCCAAAGAGAAGATTCTGAATTATAGTAACAAAATTACTATCAAAGGATGATATCTTGCTTTAGTAAAGATTTTAAACTGATAATAGATGTGAGCGAAAGAAAAAGTAAATGAATTCTCTATATAATTCTCTTTAGCCACATCTTAGATGTGAAATAAATAATATATTTAAATTTATTTGCCTTTTACCTCAGAGTTAATAAACTGGTATTTTCTTAATTTGGTCCATTAACTTTATCTAAATATAACTTGATTTTTTAATCAAGAAAACGCAACAGTAATCATTTGGCAGCTTCAATTTATCCATTTTTCCTCTGGCCTGGGCAATATTTTACCAAAGCTGCTTTTAGTAACCTTTTCGGGGGCTGTCTATATTGGTTCCATTCTTTAAGTAATTATTCAGTAGTCTCAGTGTGTGTGTGTGTGATTGTCACTACCATCTACAAAATGTTGAGCAAAATCCAATAACAATGTATGAAAGTAAATGAAGTACAGGAGTCTTTTAACATTTTGTAACTGTTCTTTGGGAGCTTGCAATAAATATAAAAGGCCATGTAGCACATAAACTATGAATTCCTGCTGCTCCAGGAGTGGTCAGGGGTCAGCAGCATCAACATCACCTGTGGGCGTGGGCCTGTTAGAAATGGAGAATTTCACACTGTTCTAAATCAGAGTCTGCATTTTAACAAAATGTCCAGATGATTCAAATGTACATTAAAGTTTGAGAAGCGTTGACATCACTGATGAAAAGTAAATTTGGTACATTCATCTTCGTGGGAAGATTTTAACTGTTGTGCTGGTATTGTTTCTTTAATGATTTCTATTCTTGAATCAGTTTGGGCTGTTTATAATTTTTTATGCATTTGTCCATACAGATTTTCAGGTTCATAGATGTTAGAGGTGTTTGCAGTATTCTCTTACACGTAAAACCAGGTAGTCTGTATTTGATCAGTGACGTAGAGACTCTTTGCTCATAATTTTGGTCATGTGATTTCCTTTTATGTCTAGCTATAGGCTCTAAGTCCCCAGGTAAGCTGTAGTTCTCCTGTTATGTATCTTGACTTTAGTAATTCTCTTATAAAGAATGCCTCACTAAGTCAAGATCTAATCCAATTATTGTAGAATCATGAAAACAAAATAATACACAATGCTAGTACCTATTAGTTCAGGTTTTTTTTCCCTTAAACAACTTTCTTGATACCTGTTAGTCTTCATTATGTAGTTGATGGCCTGTGCTTTGTATCACCTTGAACATTTGGCGTTAGTTGTAATTTTTTCTCTTTGACATTGATTTTTTAACTATAGCTACTGAAGCTTGTCATCTTAATAGTTTAAAATATCTAGAGTAGTTTAAATTGTACTCTGTGTTATTGATATAAACCTAAATCGTTGTTTTTGTATTAGGTTGGCATTACTCTCTTCACTGTGTCCCATAGGAAGTCTCTTTGGAAACACCATGAGGTTTGTATTTCTTACATTGAAGGATACAGTGGAAGTGTATTTCATTTAAATATGTGAATTCGAGTGATTATGGTTTGAGATTTCTTTTTTTTTTATCACGCTATATTTTTTCATTGATTTTTAGAGAGAGTGGAAGGGAGGGAGGGGGAGAGACAGAGAGAAAGAAACACCGATGTGAGAGAGACACGTCAGTTGGTTGCCTCCACACACTCCTGGACCCAGGCCAGGGATTGAACCTGCAAGCCAGGTACATGCCTTTGACCAGGAATCGAACCCGAGATCCTTCAGTGTGAGGGCCGACGCTCTAACACTGAGCCACACCGGTTAGGGAGGTTTGTGATTTCCTGGTGTGTGTTCCCTTTTATACATATACCTTAAGGGAAAAGGGTGATTCTGTTTCAGTTTTATATAAAGTGAAAAATGATTTTCTTAAATATTTTTGTAGTTGACGGTTTTGAAAGCTATATTATATATAAACAATCACTTGTTATATATGATAAATATTAGAGAACCAGTTAGTGGTTCTCCAGTTTTATAAATCACTGTTATATAATAACTGACTTATATATAATAACTGACTTGTTATATAATAAATTTTATATAAAATTTGCATAATTTTATCACAACTGTGGCTAAGTAAACTTTTTCTTACCATCCACTATTGACAGAAGGGAAAAGAGTCTTAGGAAGGATTAGATCCCAAAAAGTCTAGGGACATTTTTAGTGTCGATCAGGGGGACAAGGAAACTGAGTGAGGTCAGCTCTGTTGATCATTACACCATGATAAAGTAGAATTCTTTAGGTAGTCACTGTAATTTACAAAGACATTCTAGTGAGGTTTATGCTGTGGCTTTTAAAGGCTATTTTACCCTGGTTGGTGTAATTCAGTGGTTAGAGCGTCAGCCCGCACTCTGAAGGGTCCTGGGTTTGATTCCTGATCAAGGGCACACACCTGGGTTGCAGGTTCGATCCCTGGCCCAGGTTGGGGTCATGCAGGAGTCAACCAATCAATGTGACTCTCTCGCACTGATGTTCCCTTCTCTCTTTCTCTATCTCCCTCCCCCTCCTGCTCTCTCCCCCCAACCTTTCCCACTCTCTAAAAAATCAATGGGAAAAAAATCCTCATGTGAGGATTAACAACAACAAAAAAGATAGTTTTTATTATCTTATGACATTATAATTTCCCAATATTTTCATGAATTGATTGAGAGACTGAATAACTAGAAGTCAGAGCAATTTAAAATATATCCAAGCCTTTGTGTGTTTTGTTTTGTTTTTATCCTCACCTGAGCATTTGTTTATTGATTCGAGAGAGCGAGGAAGAGAGAGAGATGTGAGAGAGAAGCATCAATCAGTTGCCTCTCTTGCTCACCCTACCTGGGGATCAAACCGGAAGCCTAGGTCTGTGCCCTGATCAGGAACTGAACCCACAACCTTCTGGTGTACGGGAGATGCTCCAATCAAATGAGCCACCCTGCCAGGGCAAGCCTTTGTGTTTTCTTAGAAGTTTGTAAACTTAGCAGCCACAGGACAGTGAGAGGTCTTGGATTCTACCTCTTCTCTTCTTCTGGAGATACATGTAGACAAGTAGCAAAATAACCATCAGGCCAGTGATCATGTGAAAGAGGGTGACAGGAAGAACAACAAAGTTAGAGGCCAGAATAGCTAAGAAATAACAATATGGAAAATGGGAAAACAAGTTTTTTCTGCAGAGAGAAAGCCACTGAACAGAAAGCTTTATTAACCACTGTCCTGAGTGTGTTCATCAGATGGGAAATATAGGCACACTATATAGCTCCTTTCCTCCTCTGCCAAATCCAAAAACAAACAAACAAAGTCTTTAGTTAGAGGTTCCAAGCTGACCTAGGAAACATCACAGAAGCATTAAAGACTGCCTGACTGAACAGACTTGCACTTGGTGCAATTTCACTTGTGGTAGCTCAGGTCCTTGGTTGTGGAGTTACAGAAACACTCTTAATTTGTGGGATGCTTATAGATTTGGTTCCTTTAAAATAGCAAGGGAGTCTAGTGTTTTAATTCCAGAGTTGCATTGTTGCTCTTTTTAAAAAGAACAGACTTCTTTAGTTAGTTTTACCTTGGAGAGCTGTATGCATTTCTGTGTACAAACTTTTTTAAAAGTTTTAGTGTCTTAAAGTAATAATTTCTAATCATTTTCTTGTATAATAATTTCTACAGAAATTCCTGACAAGAAGGAAATTCTCTTAGTCATTGACTTTCCCCCCTTCTTTCCTATAGTTCTACCTGCATATGGATGGCAGAGGCAATTATGAATTTAAACAGATAACAGAAGATACAGTTGAGTTTGGCTCTTAGAATCTGGAGAACGGTACCTGCTTCGATGAAATAATTACAGGATACACTTAGAAATGCAAAGTACATTGTAAAATAAAGTTGGGCTTTTTTTTTTTAAACCAAGCAACAAACTAACTAAATATAAAATAATCGAGAACAAGTTGTTAAAACATTTAATATTATATAGAATATTGCTAATTGTGTATATGTTGGTTTAATTATTAATATGTACTAAGAATGATGTTATTCTTGTGGTTGAAAAACTGCCTAAATTAAATTGGGCTTACATCAGTGTAACCTGATTCATCCTGGGATGTAAACCATTGGGAGTCAGCTAATCTGACTCCTGTGGATCTGTCTTTTCCTTAAATCAGGGGTGGGGAACATCCGGCCCACAAAATCATTTGATGTGGCCCTGCCAAGTCAATTGCAGGTGGAACTCGAAATTTAATAAAATTAGGAGCTTTTTTCATAGCTAATTTTTAAGTTGATAATTTTGTATGACCTGTGAATGATGTTATAAATATCCAAATGGCCCTTGGCAGAAAAAAGGTTCCCCACCCCTGCCTTAAATGAAGAACCCTGTTTAAAACGGGTCATCATGTGTCCTGTTCTAACAAGATAGTCTTGAGTTTCATTTTCTTGTGCCCCATGATGGTGGGAAGCAAACAAATCATAGTGTGTTATCAAAGCGTACAGCATCTTTGCATAATAGCGTTTATTACACAGCGGCAGATTTCTTTAGCTGCCACAATTATGCTCATTCCTTGTATATGTCTTGGGGGTACATTTGACTCCAGGAAAGCCATTTGAATTTTCTGTGGCCAAATAATAAATGTGTCCCTCTCAGCCTGCAGTATTGAGTTGTTTTGAGGGTTCTTACAAAAGTATACCCAGTCCTGCTCATGGGGCAGTTACTATGTTTCACACCTAATCTTCCCAATGTTTGGGATATTGAAACACAAAGTCCTTAAATGTCAAGTTCAAGGTCTGAAAAGATGTTTAGATGTTTTTAAAGAACTGGATGGGTTTGTGTACATAAGAGCCCATTCATAGAAGTGTGGTGGTTACATGGTGTAAACTCCCAATGAGCCATAGGAATGCACTGTATGAACGAATGCACTGAGTATGCAACATTATCACTGTCTTTGTGATTTCATGTTTAAAAATTTTACAAAACTATTATGCACATGGGTGAATTATGTTCCCTAGGTACTGGTTCATCTCCATGAATCTTTAATAACTTTTTAATATTTGGGTTATTATGTTGAACTATCCTAAGAAATCGATTTCACCTCACCATACCACCATTAATGACCACATGTATTATTTGCACAGTGAGAACTGAAACGGAATATTATCAATAACCTCGATGTGAAATCAGTCTTATCAAATGGGGGTTCAGAAAGGGACATTCTTTATTCTTGTTTCTGCAAAACTGGTTTTGTTTTGTTACAGAATTAGTTATAAGAATTATCAGCTACTAAAGCAAAACTTGATGTACTGATTCCATAATACATAACATTCAGTTTTTACCACTCTCTTTAACAAACCTGTATACTTAATTTCTGTTCAGATTTTTTTTAAAACCAGATATTCTGTACACCCTTTGCTTGTTCTTTTTATTCTGGTATCTAAACAATGGGCAATTCATACGGTCTTGACTTGAAAAACACAAAAATAAATTAACATTCAGAAAGCTCTTTTTGTACCCAATGTCTCTTTTTTGAAAAGTTGTGACAAATGTGGATTTAATGAAATGAATTTCTCTTTTAGAAAAGCCAGTTAAAACTTTATTGTACCTCATAGATGCTACCAAATAGCCAGGAAACCTTAAAATATATTACTGGTCCTGGGAAAGATTTTAAGGCCTGGGGAAAGTTTGAGATTGTCAGATTTCTGGATTACCCTAACCTTTCTAATAGCTGCTTCCCAATTCCTTCTATAATGGATTCTTACCGTTAGAATTGTTTTCTTTTTAAATTTAACAAATATTAAAGTACCTCACACCTGAGTCACGGAGGAGGAGCCTCCTGGAGAGTCACAGTGCACATAACAGATGGGTGTTTCTGAGAAGGCCCGCGAGTTTCTAAAACACGATTGACCACAGAACATCTCCATAATTCCTATGAGCATCTGGTATACATTGCACTGGGAACTGGAAGTTTAATCTGAAGAATAAACTAAAGAATAAGAATTTCCATGAGCAACACACTTGCATATGAAGTGTATCATTCTGTTGCATACCAAGCTTCTACGTTTTATATACTGAGAAAATAGGGATGTAAACAACTAAGGTTGTTTGCTATACATTAGCAAACATGAATAAAATGTACCTAGGGTTTGCCTCTGCAGGGGAGGTAAAAGTTTACTTCTCCTTGTAGGGTTTTTGGCTGGGCCTGAGAATTAAGTTGACGTAAGACAGATTAACAGGAGAAAATCATAAAAGTTTAAGTTTTATGTGACACTGGAGCCCTCATCCTTATGAAGACCCAAAGCAGTGGCAGAACCTAAAGGCTTTTATACTAGGTTGAACAAAGAGAGGCAATTGTGGAAAAGTAAACTATGTGAGGAGGCTCAAGGAAGGTAAGAATTCTTTTAATCCAGTTTGTGTAGAATTCTCGAGTGTCACCATCCTGTCCTTGATGTTAAGAACGTTACTTTCCTTCTGGTTCAGGGAGGACATCTTCCATATGGGGTTTTATCTCCTGTTTTCAGGAAGAGAAATAGGAGAGTCAGAGTGCCCTTCTTTTGCCTGCTATTTTTAAAATTTTATTTTGAGTGCCTTTAGCTCAAAATAGTCCTTATGCCAAAATGGCATATTTTGGGGTGGCATATTCTGCCACCCATCACCTCTTTCCCCCTTTCTTAATGATTAGTATTTGGCTTCAAACTGTTATTATAGCATCTATCATTTTCTTATATAATTTTTTAACTTTTAAACTTGGTTTTTAAACCTGTAATTTACCTAAAAGCAGTAATTTTTCTTCTATCAGACAAACTTTAGCATCATTAGTTGTAGGAAACTTGACATTTTTACCTACATCAGTAATTTTCCCTATGTAAATAATTAAAATGTTTTGACCTATAAACATATTATATGGATGTCACTTAAAAAATATCTAGTACCAAAATTTCTTAGGGACAATCATTTTTTTTTTTTAATTTTTTAATTTTATTTTTGTTTAAAATACTACAGATGTCCCTTTTTCTCCCCAATGATCTGTTCCACCTATCCCCTCCCCCTCTCGAGTCCCTCTCCCCACCATTCTTAACTTTTGTTTTGTGGTAATTTTTACTTTTAAACAATATGCTATATAGCTATTTCTTGATTTATCAGTTTAGATATTCCTACTGCCCGTATTTCTGCCTTATCCCCCACATACAGTTAAATCATTTTTTAAATCTGCAAACACTATTGCACTATAATACATATGCAGAAAAGCCTGTAAATCTTAAGCTCAAAAAGTTTTTAGAAAGTGTGCATGCTTATTACCATCCCCCAAATCAAGAAATCAAACACACCTCAAAAGCCCCCTTTTTGCCGTCTCCCAATTATTAGCCCCTAAAGGCATCATTCTGACTTTTATCACGTAAATTAGTTTGCCTGTTTTTGAACTTCATGTGTATTAGACATCCTTTTGTGTACAGTTTCTTTCTCTTAATTTATTGAGACTGACCATGGTAGATGTGGCAAGAGTTCCTTCACTTTTATTGCTGTATCAGATATAATTATATGGGTAGGCCATACTTGATTCATTGGACTGGCATTGGGTTTCTGTTTGGAGCTATTATAAGTAGCCCATGTAAACATTCATGTGCATGTCTCCTGGTGGGCACATACGCATTTTTGGAATGCGTGCTCAGCTTCGTTACATATTGCCCAATTGTTCTCCGAGTAGTACCATTTTTATACTCCTACCATGAATGTATAAGAATTTGTTTTCCCAGTCCTTTCCAATACTTAGTATTGTGAGTGTGTGTTTTTTAAAATTTTATTTTTACTTATGTATTTTTAACCATCAACAGTAAATCATTTGGTTTTATTTTGCATTCCCTGATCAGTAATGAGCTTGAACTTATTTCATGTTTATTGGTCATTTGCATACCCTCTTTTTTGAAGTGACCATTTAAATCTCTGGGCCCCCTTTTATAAATTGACCCATGATGTCACCAACATTTTTATATATTCTGCATACAAATGCTTTATTATATAAATGTTCTAAAGTCAGACAAGGTAGACTTTAAGGCAGTGATAAAAAAGACCTATCCAACAATTACACAAAAGCAAAAACCCACATAAAATACTTTCACAGTAACCAACTTGACTTAATTAACAAGTGCCCTGCAACTGCAGACTTCAATCCCTGAACGTGATAGGTCCCTCCATTTAGTTAAGACTTTAATTTGTCAACATTTTGTAGTGTTCTGTGTAGAGGTCTTACACATCTTTCATTAGCTTTATTGCTAGGCATTTGATGTTGATTCTAGGGTAAACTGTATCTAACATTTCATTTTCTGATGGTTGCTACTGAACAGAAATGCAGTTAATTTTTTATGTTGACCTTTGTGACAGTGTTTGCCAAGGACAGTCCCATGAATAGATAGCCCATCCCACATGCTCTTTATGGTGCGATATCAACATCCTCCTTGGGGAGGGGAGGCCTGCGTTTCCTCCCCTTGAACCTGCAACCCCTGTAATTTCTTGTTAGTTCAGAGATCTGGGGGTTGATCAAGGATGAGATGGGATCATGAGAGGTAGTAACACACAAACTTTATTTGGGTGGTATTTGGACAGGATTGCATGAGAGGGGAAGTGCCTCCCAGTAACATCGGCTCAGAACACAAAAACAGACAGAACTAAGGAAACATTAGCTTCAGAGATGATGGAGTGGGACACTACCCATAGGGGAATAGGACAAGGGGACTCCCAGGAGGAAGGGAAATCCAGGGGCTCATGTGTCTAGGTAACGTCACTCAGCTGCAGTTGTTCCGGAGGGCAGCTGCGGCTGTCTGTGGTTAGCAGAAGTTCAATTCAGTTTTGTGAGGTATGTAAAGCAGGAAGATTGTAACTGACTAAAAATATGATTTTTGGACCATAAAGCAGTGGGTGTGTGAGGATTTGGGTTTGACACTGGCAGGCTTTGGGCTGATGGTCATGGGCCATTACAGGCTAATGCAGAGAGGCCCTCTCTGGGCCATCTGTAGGATACTTCTGCAACCAATAGCGGAAGTTCTAGTTAGATCATTTTAAATTAATAATCACTGTTTGCTTTTTGATGAATGTACACTAGCTCCCCCTTATCCCTGTATCAGTTACTGCTGTCACCTGCAGTCCAAAAATATTAAATGGAACGTTCCAGAAATAAATAATTTGTAAGTTTTGAGTTGTGTGTCATTCTGAGTATGGTGATAAAACTTTGCACCATCCTGCTCCATCCCACCCAGGACTGAATCATCCCTTTGTCCGGCATCTTTACACTCTAAACTCTACACGACCTTTAGTCACTGAGCAGCCATCTGAGTTATCAGATCGATTGTGGAGGCACCACAGTGCTTGTGTTCAAGTCACCCTTATTTTACTTAATAATGGCCCCACAGCTCAAGAGCAGTGATGCTGGCAATTCAGGTGTAACAATGGGAAGCCATCAAGTGCGTCCTTTAAGTGAAAAGGTATTATGTGTAGGGAAAGCCAGCGTGTACTGCACAGGATTTGGTACTATCCATAGTTTCAGGCATCCACTGGGGGATCCTGGAAGGTGTCCCCTGCAGATAAGAGGGGGCTCTTATATAATATTGTTGACGACACAGCCAAGTAGAGAAGTGTGTTCCGTTCTTAATGTCTTTTCAAAACCTTTAGTCTCTGATTGCCTGCCTTTTTTAAACGTTACTCTATCTGCCATAATTCTCATAACAGATAACAGTCCTTAATTTCCCATTTTGGCGTCATATCCATGTTCCATTTCTTTCCAGAGATGTCCTTCCTGGGCCTTCTGCCCTCCTCCACTCTGCTTCTGTAGGTGCGCTGTCGGCCTGACGCTGAGCTGCGTCGGATCCCACGGCTTCCTCTGCTCGGGCTCACTCCTTTATTCAGTGGAACATGTCCTACGGTAGCTTCCTGGGGAAGGGTGCATGGCAGGGAAATTCTTTATGTCTGAAAATATCCTTGTTCTGTTATACTTGGTGGGGAGGTCAGCTGGAATGCTGAATTTAAGCTGAAGGCCATTTTCCCTTTAATTTCTTTATTGTCCTTTGCCTGTTCTATTTGCTTTCTTACATCCAGTTTGCTGTTGTGAGTTCAGTAATGTTTCCTGTTCCTCTGCACAGGACTGCCGCTTTCTCCTGCCTCTCTCAGTATCTCCTCTGTCATATCGGGCTGCTCCTTGATCTCCAGGAAGCCAAATTAACTTTCCTCCTCTCCTCTCCTCCTCTGCACACAGACTATGGCTTCCTTTTCCATGTACAAATTTCTATTTCTTCATCCATCACTTACTGAAATCTCTGGTTCATTAATTTCCTCCTTCCTTTTTGTCTCTATGGACTGAAACCTTTTAGGTTTATTTAGTGTTATATGAGTGGGGTCTTGGGAAGGAGAGGAGAAACACGTGCTTCATCTTTGACTGGAAGTCCATATAGGCTTTTTCCCCCCATATAGGCTATTTGAAGTTCATATATATACATATATATGTGTGTGTGTGTAAAA